GGCTTAGAAACTCTAGCGATCTCGATAGCTTTCGCAGATCGGACCACCAAAGCTGAGGCATCATCTATTTCTTCTTCTTCTTCTCTCAGTCGTTCGACCGAGTCCATCGAAAGAACGATTGCTTTCCTCCTCACCCTTCAAGTTTTGGGCTTGAGTTCCTCTGGCCGAGAGATAACTTTTCGCTTCTTATCTTTCCCCGGTTTCGAAATCGGGGACTTGGTTCCTTCTTCACCGCTCGAAGGCCTTAAAGCAGCATCCTTGGTTACACCTTCATGAAAGGAAATCATTGACGAGTGGAGCATAAAAAATATTCCGAAGAACACGAGAATGTAAACCTTACCATGATTCTTGGCCTCCCATCTACCTTTTGCCAAATCACGCCAAGTGCATTCGGCATAAGTGGAAGTCGAGGCTAACTTCCGAACCCAATCCTCTTGTGGAATCCAAGGAGTAGTTGTATATCGGAGAAAGATATCATATAAAATCGGAAAAAGATACGAAAAGCAACGTCGTACGAAAATCACTTACGGTCGAAATTTCATTGCTCGTGGAACGGCATCTTCTCTTCCAGAATTAGGTCGCGGGTCCTCACTTGGATATAACGGCCCATCCAACCTCGATCCTTATCTTCGTCAATGCTCGACATCAGAGCCTTCTATGCCCGACGATGAAGCCTGATTAGTCCTCAAAATATTTGAGGCTGATACAGTCGTATGAGGTGACTCAGGGAAAACTCCAGCCCCCAGCCTTGTTGGAGAAGAAACGGAGTAAGGTTACTATATGCCATAGAGAGGGATGAATTTGACCGCGGGTGACCTGATATCTCTTGCAAAAATCGATGATCACCGGGTCGACAGGACCCAACGTGAAGGGGTAAGTATAAATACTTAAAAACCTCTCCACATGGGTGATTACGCTCTCTCAGGGGAGGGAATTTGCAACACAACCTCGAGACCCCAGTCGCAGTCTTTTCTCACAGCCTCGAGATGACCCTCAGTTATCGAGCACATGTACATCGACACATGCTCGCATCGACCCGGAACATATGAAGGATTCTCAACCTTAAAATCGATCTTCAGAGTACACGGGTCGGGAACATACTCATAGGTAGGCGGCTCCACCCGCGTCTTATCGCCGGACGGCCGTAAAAAGAAGCTTTCTCCTTCTGAAGTACAGTTTTCAAAGTTTTGGCCATTTATATAAGATAAAGAAAGGCAAATGAAGATGGAAAATTGATACAGATGGCTCTACAAGCGGCGGAAAAGAGAGAAAGGGTAAGGAAATTTGTAAGAATGAAAGATGTAAAAGTGGTGAATATGAGATGGAAGGGTTATTTATAGGCTTGCATCGTGACAGTTCAATATCAGAAGTGGCCGACCACCGACTGACACGCATTAAATACCTTGAAAAGACTAAATCGATGGGACATCTATCACATACGTCATGATCGAGCCCTGTAAAAAAGTCAACTTATAACCCGATCGAACCGTCAAAACTCATATCGATTCTCACCATATCCTTCTTGAGAAACGAGGGGACTATCTGTATACGGTCGAAATAGATTTCGGCCTTCCTACGTTCGATCGAGTTCGAATGATAATCAACCTGAGTGGGATTTTCGGATGAGTTTCGAAGGCAGTACAATCGAGCCTCGAGTCCGAAGGCTGGTCGAGGACTCGGCTCGATACCTTTCTCGAGCCCGTGACCAAATCGATCCGCAAGGCATTGCTTCGAGGTCAGAAATACGCTACGCCTACCCGGGAGGTCGAACTCGATCCAAAACCGAGAGCTCGACCCAATAACGAGTCCGAGCCAGTGTCTAGCTCACAGAAAAGAGTTGTTATAATCGCACTAAGAAAGGGAATGTTGGCGGGAATCAAGGAAGAGACAATTTATCATGGGTCCTCCACTGTATGCTTTATTTTATTATAAATGAAGTAGGATCCCTCTATTATAAAAGGAGGGGGTCCTTGTAAGAGCAGGGGCACAATACACTGTAACAAAAGATCACTTCATATATTTATTCCTTGGCTCGCTATTTCCGTTCTCATAGCCAAGAACATTCGTATCTCTATTTCTCTATACGATTTGTGTCGAGTTATATCGCATATCCTTAGAATCATACACAAATTTAATGTTATCTGATTTTTCAGGTAAACAGATGTGTTACTGATCTAATAACTTTGATATGTTTTCAAAGTGATGCAGGAATAAAGTATCTTCTTTTTTTTTCAGTTTGAGATATTTAATTTTTTTTCCTAAGTTAACATATTTAAAGCTCCCTATGTTTGTATATACTGTTGAATGGAAGTATGTATTTGTCATTAACTTGATGCTTTTTCCTCTCTCCGTAAAATGTAGGGAAGTTTCCTATATGTTAAGAAGAATCAATTAAATGCTGTTTTTCAACAGTAAAGTAAAGAAAAAATAATAGTTTTTAAGTAAATATCAAGATCACATTAGGTTTTGCTGCACATTGTTTCACACGAATTATGCATAAGTATAGGCGATTTTGCTACTAATCAAAACTAGTTTCTTAATTGGTTGACTTATGGGAATATGATATATGCCAATACAAATTTTACGAAAACATTAGAGACATCTTTAAAGTACTATATTAAAAATATGCTAAAATTTCTTAAGTAAACAATGCAAGACATTTTAGCTTTAATAAGAAAAGGAGCCTGAAAACTTCCAGTAAAAGATGACAACGCGTCGATACACAAACTTTTACATCAACAACAAAATTAACATCCAGTATTATGACATCAAGCTTTATTTGGCGACCCTGTTCCTTGAAAGCTCATATCTAGACTAATATCAACCTTAAAGACAGATACAAAACAAATTATTAAGAAAATATCTTAGCCAAACTCGCATGATAGAGACATGAGAGTGAATGTGACAACTAAATTTGGAGGGTAGAAAATAAAACTACGAATAAAAGTTCTGAACATCAGTTAGTATAATTTTAAGATGCACATAGGCAAAGATAGAATTTTTCTTTCTGATTAAAATGAGCTCATTCAACTGTCAAATACAATTTGTGTGAGAGAGAGGGGAAACATGAAAATAACAAGGACGAATGATGCTACTTTAAAATTCAGAAATAACACATTAAAAATGAAATGCGACAGAAAGAACATATTGAATGAAAGTTGTATTCCTTTGATCCAGCAAGACCCGAAAAGGATAACACTTCAACTATTATAATAACAAATTAGAAAATATTAAAACCATCCCGAGTCCATTTCTCAAAAGGTCACCGAAAGAAATTATTTATGAAAGTCACTTTACCTTATTTTGTAACTGCAAAATTATTATATTTTGTCAATTGTAACTCAAAAGTCACTCTACACTTTAGGGCATATTAAATATTATTGTTCATATTTCTTTTGCAACCCAACTATTTAAAAGATTAGAAACACCCATTTAAACATGACCCAACCCGCTAAAGGAAAAATCGAAAATTGATGTGACTCGATTATTTCGCAACAAATCCAATTAAGCAATAGTAACTCATTAAGTAGTAATAGATAAATGTGGATCAGTTTTTAAAGTATATAAGGAATTACGTAGAGAGAAGTAGAAATTACTGAGTAAATGTTGAACTGGGTTCTCGCTAGTGTTAGAGTAGAAGAAGTTTATCCCACTCTAATATGTAGTGCACCAATTTACCTTGCAATTTAACCCAGTTTGAAATCAATCAGTCAAAAAGTTCCCATTGGAAGATGGGTGGAGAATAGGATGGATGACATAGTAACTAATTAATAAAAGAGAAGTGAGAATGAGATGCAGTTTCCATTCATATGGTTTTAGATGAGATAAAAATTCATAAAATAAATAAATGTAATAAAATTCAAATGGAGTAAGAGAAGAATAAACCTGAGAGAACGGTTGAATCACGGTAAGAGGGCAGGAATGGAACATTACAGTATATTTTGTTTGATGATGATGCAAGACGGAAGAAGTTGGTGAGGCTTTTAACATGCCTTCTTCACTTAAGCAAAGCATGGGTTAAAGTGAAATACCAATTATGCCCTTGATCGACCATCTTCCAATAGAGTTGTCGTACGCAACCGGTGACAAGAGAGCATAGGCAAGACAAATAGAATAGCTATGGTCAAATTCATATGGTGTTGTACTGTTTTTGGTCGTACATTTTCACCTCCCAGTATTATTGCATCTGAGTTTTTACTTTGTACCATCAAGTCTCAATTTTCATGTTTGTTGCTAATTACTGTAATTGTGGTCAGTGAATGCTTCAATACTGTATAAATCCGAACAATGATCTCACAGGCAAGAGAAAGGAAATGCATTGGTTCGATGAATGATTTAATTTGTATATATTGATAGAATGATAGTACAAGAAGATTTTACACTACCAGTAAACTTTAATCAGTTAAAACATTTTATTTACTTCATTCCTTAGATTACCAAATTAAAATTACTACACTTTATACTACTCACCTATTGTTATAAGTCATCAAGGTATCATAGCTCACAGAAGTTAAATTCATAATAATTTTGTAAACAAAGGTGTAATTCCCACAAAACGCAACAGAAAAAAAAATTAAGTTGAAGTCACCTTTACACGTCATTATAACATGAATAGTACCAACATGACTTAGAGAGCTGCATCTTCAACAAATTATATTAACACAACAAATAATTGGTATACAATTTTCCACAAAGAGACATGATCAACAAGTTCACGCCCCTTGTTCTCTAGTAGAAAGAGCAGAACATTCGCTGCTGATAAAAATAAAACCACTTCAAATAATATAAGTGCCGCCATCTGGGGCAACCACTAACCAACTGAGACCAAATTTAAATAACTTAAACTATAATGATAGAAAAATCTCAACAATAATCGCGAGAAACAAATCCGATATCGGGATCACCATTCCTAGGAGTAATAGAAGCATCACAGAAACTAGATGTCCCGTTGGGATCATCATTACTAGTTGTAGTAGAGTATATTAGCAACATCCCAAAGCTAGCCAAATAATTACAAATATCTTCCAATAGGTTTTTAACACAAAATGATCCTTAGCTTATCTGCTAAGGAAGCTGCCTTAGTACTGCAAGGTGGATTTGCAAAATGGTTGGTTCCAATCCAGCTTGGCTACCTTGATCCTTCCTTCGCCAAAATATGTGCCACTTTGTTTCCTGCCCTATGTTTGTACTGGATTATCCAACTGTGCAATAACAACCTGCAATCATATATGATATAATAATAAATAGGAGAAACGTTTTCTAATAGTGATAAAGCCTGAGTGGAGTCTGTTTCTATCTCCAATGGGAACAGCTTGTGGTGCAGTGCAAGCAGCAAACCAAACTTGATAGCAAGTAGTTCTTCACGAGTGTGATTCAGAACATTCAAACCATAAGAGAATCTCCCCATCAGTGTTTAACTTAACAGAAATGGTATTAATATTCCTGGGATTCGTTAACTTAACCATTGTATTCCCTTTATTTGAAATATAAAGTTAGTTATAAAGTGGAAGTGCATCGTCCACAGCAAACAAATGCCAACGATTACCATTTCCAGTCATATGTACTCCACAAATAATCACGAAATCCTAATCCAAAACTCAACTTTGTATTTTTTGCAAGCATTAACACCATAATTTTTATTGTGATGCAAATTTGGGATTTTCACTTAAGTAGTCTATGACACCAAGAGCATAAGGGGGAAATGAGAATCAAAGATCTTTTGGTTATCCTTTTTTTTTTGGAGAGGAAAGATCTTTTGGTTATAATATTTTAATCATTTGTATTTCTATCCAGACAAAGATCAAACATGAAATAAATCACGGAGAAATATCGGACTCTCCTGTCAAATCACATGCAGTGTTATGAGTACAAGTAATATGAAAAAAGACTTTAGAATCGTAAAGAAACATGACTTTCGTTTATAATTATGGGTAGTCATTTTCCACCCTTTTTAGGTGGAAAATATTTTAATTGTTCAAAGCATGCTCCCCAATTTCAAGGTAATACTGGAAAATGATTTCCTACGTGATACCATACACGCCCATGGTAAAGCATATTCTGTTTGGGCTTCTCCCAAAATCCATCCTATCATTAGTGTTTGCAAATAGTTGTCCCAGTAGAAAGCATAATCATCTCAAAATACCAAAACCTACAAAGGTTGAGTAACTAAAAGACCTATTGCATGATCATTCAAGAGCTATGCTGCAGACGAAGATTAAAACTCACATTGCTTAGGAGGCTGGACACTTTGAATTTTTATCCCTGAGCAGAAGTGGTAGTAGACAGGTGTTGTTATACTTATTCTTGCTTGTGTTTGGTAGTTTGTGTGATTGTTTCGAAACAGGGTATGAGAATAAGCAGAATGCTTAAGGTTGGGGCTGCATGTCCATAGATAGTTGTTTTTCTGTTTCTTTTGAGCTGTAACACTTTCACCTTGGTAATAGAAGTTTTTATTTACACCAAAAAAAGACCTATTGCCATTGGAACTCAAAAAACAAACAAAAAGATTCATTAAGTAATGACCTATTACACGCCTAACACACCCCCACACGCAGAAGTAAAAAAAAAGGCAGCAAATTGTAAACCTCATTAGGTGATTACCTCTTCTTTAGGCCGGCAACAAAGGATAACTATATTATGATTGAATACATGTTCGGCAGCACCGATTTGGAAAGTTTCGATAGGAGTAGCAAGAGTGAGATTTAAGACTTTCACAGTCATGAAATAACGGTGGTATGCCGTCTGAACATCTCAATCTTCAAGACCTTGTACTTGTAAACCTGAAAAGAGAGTCATTATCACTAAAGGAAGGATAGTCAGGGACTAATCACAGAAAGCAAATTAAGGTGCATACATACATTGCACTCTTTTTCATTATATTCGCGGATAGCATGGTTAGCCAGTTCCATCAGTGACTCGAACTGGTAACTGAAATCCAGATATGGAGTTACTCGAGAAGCAGGAGACCAACCAGGGTGGACATCAATGTCAAAAGACTGTCAAACAAGCCAACAGTGAAGAAAACTATCCAAAGCGGAAGAAAGGAGAGGGATCATAATATAATGAAAAATAAAAAAGGAGAATTCAAAGGAAGCAAACCTCGGATAAATGAAACTGACGGATGTATGAGGCCCAAAATGGGACGAACTCTTTGCGATCCTGTAAAACATCAGCGCCAGCCGGCAAAAGAGTAAGATCTAAGTTTCCAAAAAGATTGCGTGACGGACAAGAACCGGCCAAATATCGTCCTCCTCCTCCTCTGGGAATCAACTCCTTTACGCCTCCATCCGGAATAATTGGCCATTTTATACCCGACATCACACAAACCTTTTTTCTGGCCTCTTCTCGGGTTTCCCTCCTCCTCCTCCTGCTTCTCCTCCTCCCACACAAGATTCTCTTTGCAACTTTTCAAAACCCTCAGGAACTTGATTTTGCCTCTTCACGTCTGAAAACGGTTCCCGTCCTGCTATCTCTAAAGGTTCTCTTTGCCTCTTCTTCGAGGATGGCGGTGTCAATTCGGCCATTTCTCAGTTGATGATTGAAGCGATGGGTAACCCTAACAACCCCCCTCCTTGTTGTTTTGGGATGGAACCGTCTAGCAAGAAAGGGAAAATATATGCTTACAAGGTTTATTTAAAAAAAAGATATATAATATAATGCTTTTAGCAATATTTTATTACCAAAATTACCTACGTTACCATAAAGCATCTTACGGTTACTAATCTATTGTTACAAAATATAAGATTATGTGGATATCCATAGCTCTTGAAAGGATAGTAGGAAGTATTCTTTTTCATTATGTCCGTAACTTTGACTACTTCAGTACTTATATAATTTACATACCTCCATAATCTCCTCATGATTATGATCTCAAATACTTAATGCTAAAGACGGATCTAAAATTTAAACTTTATGAGTTCATTCAAAATTCTACTACATTATATCTAATTTAATGAATTTAAAATATATTATTTGTACATATTTAAGAGCGGAAGTTATGGGTTCAAATGAACCCATATCTTCTATAATAAATATGCCCCCGCTTAATACCATGTTTATGTCATTCTTAGTAAATAGTGACAAACATTAAAGACCACCTATTATTCAGAGCATGCATATTTAGAATCTGTGGATTCAGGAACAATGAATCTCACTCCCTAATGAAATTAAATTCACGAAGGTAAACCATACAAAATGATAGATCAAAGTCACTATTTGTTCATGACTTGATTTTTGAAATATCTTCTGCTAGGAGGTAGCTACTACAACTGCATGACTAAGTTACGATAGATAACACCAGATAAATCGATGATGCAAGTCCTTCATACATCTTTGTCCAAATTATAAGCTTTGATAGTTACTTGGTCTTAATAAGCGTCTTTACTTGCTGGTTGAGCAGAGTAAGAATGTCGTAACTTCAGGAAGTCTATGAATATGCGGTATGACAAGAACACCAGAAGCCTCTTGTAAAAGTAAGTAACTTCTTCATCAACCTTTTAATTTAAAGTATATTACCTTAAGAAATACTGACAAAAAAGAAATGCACCAATCATCCATCAGTAAAAGGGCATCTTAGAAATATAATATACCCCCTTGAATAAAATAGATTTTTGTGACTGCCAAGATATTGAGCATGCACAATTCATAACAAATCAAGGTTATGATTGGAATAATTTGCTTAAATCAAGCAAAATAATTAAATAATAGTTTGTATAAAAAATAAAAGACACATATAGCATAAAGTAACTCTTTCCACTAGCATATTGTTACCAATTGAAGCATGTGTATGACTACAACCTAAAGAAAATAAAATAAATAAACTAAACGCAAAATAAGCACAACCAACACTATTGTTTCAAGGAAGTACTTAGAGTGATTTAGGTCGTACCATCTTACTAATAAACATAAATATATATAAAATATTACGCTGAGAGATTGAACGAAAAGAGGTACCAATATAATTAGTCAATAGCCATTACCATTTGAACTGATAGAACTCGAAAGCAATCATCACAGAAGCATGTTTATAAGACATACTTCATATATATTAAAAGATTGCATATATGCGAGTGTATTTATATAAATATACGTGAAATATATAATCCTTTTGCATTTCATGTACTGAAGTAAAAGTAGAACAGTTATGAACTAACCAAATGGTCAAGTGATTTAGTCCCTACCAAGTATGCTAATATGGTATATCAATCCACCACTTATACTTTCACACAAACATTTAAATGAAATACAAACTTAAAGTAAATTCCAAGTAAATTATATCAACCTTTAGGTGAAGCGCAACAAGAAAGAACAGAAAAAGGTAGCATATGCTGATTTAATATGTAGCTACTTGAAAATCTTATTTCACGACATCAATAGATAATAACACCAACATTGATGTACCTAGAATGAACCTGCATTCTAGTCATAAGTTAAAATAATAGCAAAACAAGAACAACCAGATTCCAGAACCAATAGTTTATGAGCTATAACAAGATAAACATTTGAGCACAATTTGTTACTTTATGTACTGTAACCAGTAACACCAAATCTCTAATGTAATACGAAGAGTACTTTTTAGGCGTTCCACTTTCATGTTGCCTGGCAAAACCTTCAGGTTTCATTGGAATTTAAAAAATCAGTACGTTAAAGATGATCTCGAGCATAGAAACGTTCAAAAAGAATGCTTGACTTCTTCTGAACGCTTGACTTCAAGAGCATATATTTCAAGAGATACATGTCTGAGAAAGAATATGGTACTTGATTTATTAGTTACTCTACATAAATGAACAAGTGATAAAAGAAAAAATAACCAAATAGATAGCTAAGAATTACAAATCAAGCACCATAAGTCATGCTGTGGAATTTGGTATATGACATCTAATGGTGTGGGAGGCTTATTATGGAAGCTTCAAAAACTAACTTGTAAAATATCCATGTATGATTTAAATAAAAATTATGGGTGGTAATATGGCGAGCTTTATGTTCAAATGAAAACTTGTAACGATCTGGCCGGTCGTTTTGAGAGTAATAGCCCTGATCCCCTATTAACTACTTTTTCCAAATCTTTTTCTGCTATTGTGACTTGCCGGGATGATTGGTTTTCAGTTTCAGAGTGTTTTGGGACACTTAGTCCCTAAATGAGAGCTTGAGCCTTGGGATTTGGACCGTAGTCGAAACTATATGAAGACGACTCCGGAATGGAATTCCGTCGGTCCCATTAACTCTGTTAGGTGATTTTGGGTTTAGGAGCTGTCACACCTCCTTTTTCCCGATGGGATAGGGGAGTTTTTTCAATTAAAGTGACATTAATCGAAATGAGATTATTTATTTATTTCAGAGTCGCCACTTGGAATAATTTATGGTGTCCCAAGTCACCGGTTTACTCTAAATACCAAATCAAGGAAATTGACTCTTATTTATGGTCTGCGAACACAGAAGACCGAGTAAGGAATTATGTTAACCTGAGAGAAGGTGTGAGGCACTCCCGGATTCCGTGGTTTTAGCACGGTCGCTCAACTATTATTAATTGGCCTAATTATCTGATTTATTACATGTTTGAACCTATTGTGCATTTTATTCCTTTTAACCATTTTTTAATATTTATGGATATTATTTAAATAAGTCGCGATGTCGCGCACTTATTATTTTTGTACACATTGTGAATCGCGTTACGTGAAACGCACCCGCGATTTACAACATGTTAATTTTTATTATTATTTGAAGTGTAAGGTCGAGTCACGTGAAACGCACACTCAAATTGGTTTACGTATCGTGACTATGTCACGGAAACCGTACCCATAACCTCGATGATCTATTATTGATCGCGCCTAAAGCAAGCTACGATGTTTAAGAGTCGATAATTCTTCTAAGGTTTGAGATTCTTGCAAATGCATAAGTTATGAAAATTAGTTGTCGTAAATAAAGAACTGATCATTACGAACAGTCATAGAATTGGCATATTTAATTCAATCAATTGCTTGCACTTGTTCGCATACACTGATTAATTACTACGTTAGAGCCTACATGTTCGTGTATTAGTTTTCAACCAAAAGGGTAATGAAATGGAAACAAAAGAATACAAAACTAATTCAGAATTAAGATTACACATCCAGGCTATTCTATGATTACTTATGAAAATACGATCAATTTACGCCACTTCAACTAAAAGCTAAATCTCAGTTAATGTTCTTTCGCTCCCATTCTCCATATCCATCAATGAGGTACTGATTTTATCTATGTTTGGTTTCCCTTTTCCTTTCAAGCATAGAATGCTAAACAGAGGCTGGAATCAAACCAAACAAACTGCTTATACTTCATAACACCAGACCCAATCTATAGATATGTATTCATCGTGTTCATAAGCATTTTATTGTGTTAAAACTAAATTCAAAATCACTGAATCCAAACAATAATAGCAGATGCATCAGGGATCAACCGTGATTTCAGACATTGAGTAGATAGCAATTTACTTCGTGCTAAGAACTAATCGAAGTGCATAAATCTAACTAGTAACAGCAGATAAAGATAACAATCTCACGCTAGAATAGTTCTGGAGAAAACTCAAATCTCAGTACATTAGAAGAAACCATATGAGGCAGTAGAAGATTACCTCGAAAATAGCACAGGAGAGGAAATTGAAACCAAATAAAGGTCGAAAAATCGAAAATGAGCTCAACTATAATGCTACAGCAGAAACAGGCAAGATATCCAGCTTAAGAATCCAGAAATGACATAGAAGAATCCTTTGGAATCAACATTTTTTTTTAATTGTATTTGGTTGAAATTTTACTGTTTTTGCTTTCTGGTACTTTTCTCTTAATTTTCTGAAACTCAACTTTCAAATCTAGCCAGGTATTCTCTATATATTCTCAAGGACTTCCAGCTGATATTGGATGAGTGAGGAGAAAAGAGTGAAGAGGGACGGGTGGCGGCAAAAATGGACATCAATGTAACTTGACTCAAACACGAACCATCGACTGGACAGAAAACCGCAAATGGATACCTCGAACCAAAGCTCTTTTAACAAAGCTTCACAGCAGAGACAAACACCGGACAAAGCTTCAAAGCCAAAACTCCAATAGACTGAAATCTATGCCATTGAAACTCGAACAAAATCTGGAATGAAAATTTCGACCGAGACCAACAAACCAAAACTCGCCGGCAACTCGAATTCCGCCAAAGACCTCGGCAGCACCTCTTCGAATTCCGCCAAAGACCTCGGCAGCACCTCTTCGAATTCCGCCAAAGCTTTGCAAGAAATGGAGCTTAAGGATGAGAGGTTGTGTGCTTTTGGATACTGATCGACAAAGTATTTTCGGGTATCCTAAGGTTTGATTTTTTTGTTGATTTTGGTTTCCTGACCTTTAAGAAGAAGCAAAAGAATTCAAAACTCCTCTATTTTGTGACTGTAGTAGGTGTGTTTTGCTTGTTTCAGCTGGATTTCAGTGGTGTTGACTGCTGGATTTAATGGAGGGTTTCAAGGGTCATCGAGGAAGAAGAAGATCGCTGCGCAGCTTTTTTTAGGGGGCTCTCTCTTCTCCTCTTTTTTTAAGGTTTGGGAAAATGGGGGTTTTAAAGAGAAGGGGGATACGGTCGGGCCAGGTGGGTCATGGAAATTGGGCTTCTAAAGGGATGGGCTTGCTAAACTAATTTGTGTGGCTAAACTATTATATATATTTTACTCACTAATTGACTAATGACCTAATTAATTAACTAGCCTAAAAATGCATGTAGAGTTACTAATGTATTTTTTTTGGTATTTTAGTGTTTTACAAAGGCAATTGATTATGCATTTAAAATCTAAAAAATGTAAAAATTAAAAATATTTTTGTATTTTCTTTAGGATTTAAAATGCAACTTAAAAATGCATCAAATATGAATACGTACAAAGCAAACTAAGTAAAAATATAGAAAAATAATTTAAAGCTATTTTTTTTGGATTTTTTAGGAGTAATTTTATATTAGGGCAAAAATTAGGTGCTCACAGCTGCCCATCTTTGCTCGAGAACATGAAGAGTTTTCGGACAAAGATAAAGTGAGCAATTATGAGCAATTTTTGCCCGTTTGACACTCCATGGGAAGCATTTTGAAAATGTTTGACCGAACCGTGCTTCAGAGGTTGCCTACATATCCTTGGCTGTAAAGGAATCAGGTCAGTGTAGTTCTGGAAATTTAGGTAGCTGGGACTACCGAGAAGCTATGATTTCACTGTTGTTGCCGCTGCTACTGCTTGCTGAGCTTCTTATTACACCAAAGTCAAAATGAAAATGACTAATTGAGCCTATCAGCTACGAGTTACAAGATTCATATCTATGAGTTATTTTGAAGCTTGATCTTTAGTTTTGGCTGGTTCTTCATGCAGACTCTGATCTGAACTTCGATGCATGCTAACTGCAGGTGGTAGTTCATTCTTCTTCAGTTTTTCGGATCAAGATGGGACATGCAAAGCTTGCGACTTCAATCATGTCTTGAGCAGCCCATATCTTTACATCTGCTTTTGCATTTTGGATTCACATCTTTTTTTCTTTTTATTCTGGATTGAGACTTCTTCCTTTGGTCATCTCGGACTGTCAGCTCACATTCTTGAGGCGAGCTTCTGCTACTTCTTACTTGAATTGAATTCTTAAATAACTTCCCTCGTTCTCCAGGTGGGCGCCTGATGACTTGAAACTCGAAATAAATTTCTTCATTCTCCAAGTGGGCGCCTGCTGACTTAAAAACTTGAAATAAATTCCCTCATTCTTCAGGTGGGCGCCTGTGATAACTTAAAACAGAAATGAATTCCCTCATTCTCCAGGTGGGCGCCTGATGTTGACTTAAAACTTGAAATGAATTCCCTTGTTTTCCAAGTGGGCGCCTGTTGCTAACTTAAAACTTAAAATGAATTCCCTCGTTCTCCAGGTGGGCGCCTGATGCTAACTTAAAACTTGAAATAAATTCCCTCGTTCTCCAGGTGGACGCCTGATAATGACTTAAAAATTAAAACAAATTCCCTCATTCTCCAGGTGGGTGCCTGATGACTTGCACATGAAATGAATTCCCTCATTCT